GTTTTTATTGATTATGAACTGAAGAGAGACGTCTCCACAGCGTCCAGTTAGCCATAAGCTTCTCTTCTTGTATCAGCAGTACTAGAAGCTACATTTGGATCAACACAGACTAATAAATGGATCCAGAACCATCCAGATCAGTTGTTGTGAAAACTGGTCACACAGTGGTGATATTGCTTTTCTCCAGGAACTAATTGTACTGAAATGTTACTTGCATAACAAGAGAGAGACACAAACGTATAGTTATGCAATGTAAAAAATTAAAGACACCTAAACACAAAATATTTAGAGCCTGCAGCGCTCATCATCACAAAGTCTAACCAACAACATCTAAAATGTCTAAATTATATGTTCCAAAGATTTCATCCATCAGTGTAAGCATGATTAAAATGTGTATAATGCAACAAATTTAAAAATACAGTTCCTCTTTCCTCAGCACTAAAAGTCCTGTGGGTATTTAAACTGTAGTATATAAGTAACAACTGATATCTGCTCTTTAAAAAAAGGCACCAAAGACAATAAGGGTGATAAAAAAAATTTTTTTCAGGAGAATCAGTCTGATCCAACATCTCTGGACTGAAAAACAAACGAATATATGTACGAGACAGTTACCTGATATACTAAGTAAGAAAAAGTATGAAACACCAATGTGAGAATATTTCTCTGCACAGTAAGTTCATTATTCTGAGTCAGCACAGAGGTGGATACTAGAGTCAGGCTTCACCCTAAACCCAGCATATACAGGTTCAGTGAAGGTGGTGTTGAAGGTGTGCAGGTGGATCAGTTTATCAGAGGAGACACTGTAGAAGGACACAGTTCCTGCAGAACAGTCCACATACACTGCTACTTTGTGAGAAACAGCTGAGGGGAGAAGAGGGATGGCTCTTAAATCAAATTTGTGACTTGCATAGTAACCCTTATCATGACTGCAGTTGAGACTCCAGGATTGATAATTCCTTCCAAACCTGCATTCATCCTCTTCTCCTTTCCGTCTGATTCCTTCATAAGCTACAGCAACATGAACCTCTCCTCTCCACTCAACCTCCCAGTAACAGCGACCACTCAGACTGTTGGTACACAGCAGCTGAGGCCAGTGATCAAACCTAAGATCATGATCAGGATACAGCTGGTCTTCTTCCACATGTGTCACCTCCTTGTTGTCATCAGACAGTTTGAGGTTCTTGTGTGCTGTGTTTGGATCCAGCGTCAGATCACAGAAATCTAAAAGGAACCGTGAGAAAAAATGTAGAACAGTACAAGATTGTGTGAATGCAGCTCATAAATCAAAAATACTTACATTTCCTTAGACCTGGTCTCATCCACTGGACTCCTTGAGGCTCCACACTGAAATGAGCACGTTATCTTTTAGTGTGCAGACATGGCCTTTATGTTCTCTGATTCATCTTTTCTAGAGAAATAA